AGATTCACCATTTGTCCTATTTATTCCTGTTTTGAGGAAAACCCAAAAATGTTTTTTTTTTTACTTTCAATAATGGTAGAGGGGAACTCTTCCAATGGGGACACCAATTCTGGTGACCTGGAGGTCTCCAAGGAACTCCCTTAATTTGTAGGGATTTGCACTCACTTCCTGTTTGGTTATAAAAATGGTAGTCCCCAGTGGGGCCAAAAAAAATTGACAGGGGTTATAACACTACTCTATCCAAAAAGGAAAAACCTCACACGTTTTATCTATAGTTCCACTTTAAACAAAAGGGAGAAGCTTTCCATAGTCCAGTTGTGCAGCGGATTCTTCATGTTTTATTATAGGATATCAGCTTTCGAGATGAACCAAAACCAACACCTGGCCACACAGTGAATGGGTCTGAAAGCCTAGATCTACCTGGAATAATTTGTTTGATTTTCTTTTTTGGAAAACACGGTACATGAGAATGCAGCAGTCACATCTTGTGTCTAGTTGGCATTGAGAATATAAATCAAAATTGGTTGCCTACAATCTATGAGTTCAATTTACTACCTGAATTTTATTGACCAAGTTGAGAAAAACGAAATGCAGAAAGCTGGACTGTTATAAAATGATGCTCTAGAAAAAACACTGCAAAAAAACAAAAAAAAACTCTTGAGTGGCCATGCCTGTGATCCAGTTGTCAAGACATCACAGATTACAGGTAAAATACATAAAGGCCCTGTGATCAATCACAAATGTAAACACTGCCTAGGTTTGCTTTTCAGGGCCCTTCCCTTCTGTAATCACATCCTTTAGTTCCACTGCCTTTATTGTGAGGGGAAGAGTAGTAGGAAGCAGCAGACTCCAGATGGGGGCTTTGATTACACGGTGGGAGTGTTTTTAAAACCTTTTCACACCCCCCCCCCCTTCCTTTGAGTGTATGGGCAGTAGTCCAACTACATCCAGTCTCTATATATGACTTCAATATTAGTGTCATCACCTCCCTTATTCTGCAGATTAACCACATTCTCCCACTATACGTGATATGTACATTAACCCCTTCATCTCCTCCCTCTGTGTAGGACCTGTACATTATGTGCTGTACATAGTGAAAACAAACTAGAAAGAATATCACCTTGGAGTGCCCACTTTCCAAAAATATTTTTTTGCTGTGTTGCATGACATTAATTGTCAAACTATCCCTGCAAAATAAAATTGGTATATACAGACTGGAAGTGGTTAAAGTATTGCCCTGCCACTACTTTCTATTACTTTACGGCTGATGCAGAAATCACCACTTAACACATTCAGGCCCCTTTCACATGGACTTTCCTTGAAAAACAGGCACGCTGACCCAATTGGAACCTCTATTCTCTATGGAGGGGCAGGTGTAAACGGACATCCAATCGGATCTGCCAAAAAGATTGAATGGGGATCCGTTCCCCTTCCCTCCATTGGATGGCAGTCAGATGGAGACGGGCAGGCGCCTATAGAGGATAGCAGGTTCTGCAGGTCTGCCCCATGTGAAAGGGAAATATGTTCCATACTACCCGGATGAGAGAGAAATGACATTTCATACATGACCATGGGTTTGCTATGCACAGGTGAAACTGCAAGCAGATCACAGAATAAATAATTGACAAGGTAGTAAGATTATGGTATTAAAAAAAGTCTTTATTATGCATCCATTTTTTTAAAAAAATCCCTGATTAAAGCTCATTAAGGCACATAGAAAAATCCCTTTAAAAAGGAAAAGGCCCTGGTTTAAAAGAAATCTCAAGGTTCAGGACAATATGAAGAGAGGTTTCCATACTTCAAAAAAAGATAAAAGCTGTAGGGTGCTGTGAAGTCAAAGTCAAAATGATTAAAAAAAGTCAAAGTGATTGAAAGAAAAACCAAAAAAAAACAAACAAAAAAAAAAATATTCACAACCCAATCCAAAGCTACACTTCAATATACCAACAACAAATCAAATAAAAAAAAAAATACAAAAAAAAGGTTATCAAATAAAATGAAGACCGCATAGATGTACTGCAATCATCCAGCTATCACAGGTAAAGCCATACTTGAACAACTTAAAAATGTTATTGAACTGGTAACCCCTCAGTGTAGGTAAAATCCCCCAGTGGGTTAGATACTCAGTTTTTTTTATTGCTGCCGGAGTCCCTGTCTGGAAGATATCCCCTCACTTCCTGTTCTAGTGAAACTCTGTTGCTCTGAGCTGAATTTCCTGCACTGATGATCTAATCCCTGACTTGCTGCCAGATTCACAGCAGCAAAATATGCATAAACCCCAAACAAGCAGCAATGAAACTTGGCTTACAATGACAGGTGTGTCACCAGGACAGAAATTGGCTTCCAAAACCTTTGCCTTGAGTTCCAGGACATTAAAATTAATGTACTGAAAATGAAAATTTACGACTAACTACCAAAAAAACTTTTGCTTCAGTCTGTCCCCCGAGGACCAGTCAACTATTCAATGGATGCCACCATCTTGTCTAAGGCAGCAAGGATTGCAGCCAGGTTGTCAATCACAACCCACAATTAAGATATATGTCACTCCAATGACCGCCACGTCTTTCCTCCGGGCATATGTACGCAGTCCAGGGAAGAGAATGAAGAGGAGGGCTGAGCTGCTGACTCTTGGCAAGGTCATTATTTGCATATCAGCAGTCTGCTAGAACTACATGTCTTATGCCTGGTTCACGGTCACGCAGCTGCGGGCTGGTGTTGGTTGGCACCCCCACGCATCTCATCCCGCAGCACAATCCAGGATGTGGGAACCACACGGAAACCTCATGGTCAAAGACCATGCGGTTTCCTCGGGGATGCATTTTGTACATGTACCTTTTCCTTGAGTAAACACGGGCAGACCAGCCCACGGAAAAGAGCGGCCTGTTCTGACCACACAGAGAGCGGCCTGTTCCAACTGCACTAAGACAGGTCGCACAGCCTGCATTAGGGTTAACCAGGCCTTAGGTTTAAAAAAAAAAACAAAAAAAAAAAAAAAAAAAAAAAAAACAGCTGATGGATTATGCAGCTACCAAACAGCTGATGGATTATGCAGCTACCAAACAGCTGATGGATTATGCAGCTACCAAACAGCTGATGGATTATGCAGCTAAAGTGAACAGAATCAGAATGACTGACAAACAAGCAGCAATTGCAGAATAAGTCAGCAACTGCAGCCTCCAGTAAAGTTTTACAAATGCTACCCAACATTTTTTCCTCTGTGCTGCTCTACTACAAATGATCTGTTTCACTTTAAGTGGTTCTCCCTGTTCACAAATCTGAAACAAAATCCCTATAAGCACAGCAACTAGATTTCACCTTAAACTCATGGACAAAGCTCAAGCCTATAGTTGGAGAGCTATGCCTCAATGTGTATATAGATCAACAACTTGGATTGTCAGCAATCTCCCCCTGTTCACATTACAAAAAGGATGCCTACACCAATACCTGCCTGAAAATACTAGTTCCCTGGCCATGGTGCTAATCCCTTGGTAGAAAGCTTAAATAGATTTTCTTTATACAGTATTCTGTGCCACAGGATACAACGTATGTGTAGTACTTTGCCCCATCTTGCTGCGGAAGCAGAGGCATTATGCACCCCACAGCGGTCAGTAAATGCAGCTGGCAAAAACAGCTGCATTTTTCACTGCCGCTCATCTCCAACTCCAAGCACTTTCCCAAGACAAGCACTGGCAAGAGGAATTCTGGTGCCAGGAAGCCGACCCCCCCCCCCCCCCCCCCGCATTCCTCCTGCCAGTGCTAGTCTCTGGCAAGTACTTAAGATCGGGACATGAGTACCGACCATCAAAGTGTTTATCATCCTTGCTAGCTACATTGTGGCCAGCTGTTGTGTCCTGTCCAAGTGCATAGCTAGCCTTACACAGCACTTGGGAAAACGAGACAAAAGTACTAATACAGAATACAGTCAGAAGAAGTAGCATTTTCAGAGGCAGATAGCCACCTTTAAAAAGTTTCTTTAAAAAAAGGGCAATTCCACAACAACTAAGAAAGAAAGAAGGAAGAAAAAAAAAAAAAAAGTGGACCCATGCTTTAATGACACCAAGAGATCTCACCTTTAAAATTTCACTTATAAAAGAACAGTAGTTCCTACCCCCTTATTTATGTCTAGAGACAAAACCCTCTCACTTAATCTTTCATTTACATCCTAACAATTCACTGTAGCACAAAACCAATGGCAAAGAGGGTGTCAGTCATATGCAAGAGTCTCTTAAGGTGCCAAGTGAACATGGAAAAATCTTTGAAAACAAACCTATACTATTTTAAAGCAAAATCTCTGCCTAGAGCAGGCCATTGAGAAGTCAAAAAACGAAATTTGTGTCAATTGTCAAATCATTCATTTTTTGCATCGTGTGCCAACTGCAACATGCGATTTTTGAATCAAAAATACCTGATCCAACATGGAGTTTTTTTTTTCTTTTTAGGAGATCGAAACAATTGATGGCACAATTGCTTGAGCGATTTTAGATTTTTAATCATCAAAGGTTTTGTTTTTCGACTGGTCTATGGCCTGCTTTATGCTAGGTCTGCACTGGCAAATCTCCTTTCAGCTGAGAAATTTAATTATTTGTTGGCAGTCACCTTATGTGCAGCACACTGAAATAATTGTCAAGAAAAAAATCAACAGTTGAATCTCAGTCTAGGCCTACGTTGGCGATTTAAATCTGTAACCAAGAGCAACCACTACATGATGCCATTAGCTTCTTGTGTTTTAGTTTGACTTGTTACTGGGGCCTGAACTTTCTTGGCTCACCACCCCCTGGCTCAGGGGGTCAGTAAAATCATGCTCATCAGAACAGGTAGGACAGCTGGTGGAATTTAGCCATTAAGTCAGAAAAAGTCAAGATCTAGTAAATGGAAACTAAAACCCAGAGGAGTAGGCCAGAATAGACTATTCTGGATAAGAAGGGAATACAGGCATCTTGTGAGCTTTGCTCTTAGACAGGATTTAAGATCTTCAAATGGAATACAGTTTACTTAAGACATTACAGCTTAGGAATAGGACTTGCTGACACAGCTATGCTTTCAATTGCACATTCGTTTGTTCCCCTGCGGATTCTGAAGTACCCCTTCTCTCCCCAGGCCTCCCCCCAGCTGTTCTTCACAATCCAGTACTTCTGTCCAGTTGAATCGACACCGTAACCAACCAGCAGGACGGCATGGTTTGTCAGCTGGAAAGGGTTGAATTTATTCTGCAGTCCAGTGTGGTGGTAGATTCCTCCTTCATAGTGCATGAAATCATCGTAGACTTCAAAAGCTACAGCCAAAGGACCCCCCAAAATGAGTTCATATTTCATGTAAGCCTCATTGCAGCCACCATAGAAGCCTCCAACGTAGTGGTACTCCCGCTGTATAATAACGATAGGAGTCACCTTTCAGAGTGCAGGGTGAATCACTGCCAGTGTAAGGGAAGTCCGACTCTTCTACAATGCCGAAATCCTGAGCATATTTTCCAGCGATGAGATAAGGAAAGCCTCCATCGCAACCTTAAAATAGGAATGTTTTGTTAAAAAGGGCAACTGTCATGCTTGGATTGATATCAATAAAAAGTAAATTAGAGTTTGGAATACTTTTTTTCCCCCCTGGAGAATATGCTTCTCAATACCCTGCACAGATATATCAATCACACGCAAAAGGCAACTAGTCACATTGTTTTTCTTACAGAAAAAAGGCATGGCCATTCTGATCCTCTCATTCAAAAGGCTACATGAAGCAAGTGACTAGCATTTTAGGTCTCCCTTTCAGCATTAAAGTGGAATTCCAGCTTAAACCTAACTAAGCTTAAAAATGCCCCCCCCATCCTCCTCCTGACACCCATCATTACTAACCTGTGTAAGACAGGATGTATATACGTACCTTTCTCAGCCTGCTCACATGATTTTCCTTGCATCAGCCAGTACTGACTGCAGGGGAGAGCGCCCCAACAGCTGGTAAAGTGGTGATGTTAGCCATAGGCTTCAATGGCCCATCCATTCTGGAGCCCTCTCTTCTCCCTTACAGCCATGCTGGCTTACAAAAGGGGTGTAGAATTAGATCAGTGGACTGGAGTGGCCTTCAATTGGCAAGTATAGACATTTTTCATACATCGGTTAGCAAGTATTGATGTTAGACGAGGGAGGGGACAGTTGAGAGCAGTTCGGGTTATCCTGAAATTCCACTTTAAACATGAACTAGTGCCTAGGATTTTTATTTTTGGTTAACCAGCACTGGAGGAGTCCGAAGCTTGATTTTCTAAGATATTTTCTTTTTTTTTTTTTCTTTAATTACTTTCATTATCCTGGCAAGCAAACGTAGCTTTATGTTGACATCAGCACACATATCCACCCCAAAAAGAACCAATGACTTGAAAGAAATAAGTAGGCTGCCATCGCTGACCCATAAAAATGCTAGTCACCCCACTTTCATTTTTATCCAATGGCATTGTATTTTCTGACTCAAAAGGGTGCATTTTATCTGTGTAGTTCAGAACGTACTGAAGTCACAGGTTCAGGAGACCAACTTTCGAAAGGTCAAAAAGGAAACGCCCTGTGAGTGGGGCGAAACGCGTTGACGCACTTCTGGTCTGCCATCTTCTTGGCCTACGTCACTTCCGGTATTTGGAACGCACGCCGACTTTTGCGGTTCAAGCAGCCATTTTTGAGGTGGAAAGCTGGTCATCCTCTACAGTGATCCTTAAAGCGTGAGATCCCTATATTTACAATTTGGAAACTTGTTCCTTTGAAGCCTTTGAGGCTATTAAACAAGGCCTGTTATTTTATTCCTTATTCTATGGATTTATATGGTATTGAGTGGCAGTATTACACTATGTAGCCTTTCTTTCCTTGCACATTATTGAGGATTCCATGGAGAAGTAGAGTGGAGTCGATTGCTGTATCTAAGCAGGGTGAAGGCGATTTGAGTTCCTCCTGAGGGGCTATAGGATCCCTTATATCCTATGAGGCTTATTACTCACCTCCATCTGGTGAGTGCGGTCAATATTATTTTTCACGTGGTGATTAGGTGGAAGCACATTTTGGAACATTGTTTTGAAAATCCTTTTGGGAAAATAAGGACTTGTTTGAAATATTATATATATATTTTTTTGCACGGACATTTATTTGTGATTATTTTTATTTATTTAATTTTTGCGCTGTTTTTTTGTGTTATTTATTATTGGTGGTTTTCACTGGTGCACAGCTGCATAATTGTATACTTACTTTGATTGGCGCTGGGATTTTTGTAGTTTGTTCAAAAAGGAAACCTGCATTTTTCTAAAGTATGAGAGTTGACATCTCTGCTGCTCCTCTTGTTCAAATGTCCACATCTCATAAGGCAGACTGAACTGTAGCCATTCTGCACATGCTCAGTTTGGTGTGTATTTCTAGAGTTTTTTTTCCCCCTGGGAGAGCATGTGATCAGCACAGGGCCAGTCAATCAGCACTGTCCAGACGGATGGTCAGGAGTTTTGCATCTTAGAGATAAAAAAAAAAAAACCTCCTACAAGCTTTAACCAGTGCTCTGCTGGACACTGATAGAAGTCACAAGACTGCTATATACTGCTGATTAGAAAGGTATTTAGCAGTTTATATTTACTAAAATAATTACACTTCCATGTTCTGTGTACTGTGGGAGACCAGATAAAGTGAATGCAGGGTCCTGGGTTTAGTTTTCACTTTTAGAATGACAACCAGAGAGAGGAACCTTCAACACTACACACAGCAGAAAGAGCAATAAGACAGAATCAAAAGACTGCCAACCAAATACCCATCTGCCTTTTATTCTATAGATCCTTGAGTTAAATTTTCATACCTTTCACTCACTCAACTGCTAAGAAAACACCCTGAATTATCAATTTCAATTCTGTCCACACTAGCTCCCCTATCATATAATCACACTTGGGTCTAAAGGAAGGCTACTCGATGCTACATTGTGGATGGCAGGGGTGTGTCACATATTACCATGCCACATTGATCCCAGGCCTAGAAAAAAAAAAAAAAAAAAACAAAACACCTGGGCTTCAGGGGGTGGAGGAATAAATGGAAGATTCCTCATGTAAACTGATTGTTAGTTTGGTTAATACAAGCAAAGTACAAGTTCTCTTACCCCTCCCAGCTGGTTCCCATCAGCCCTTCAAGGAAATCTAAATGGCCGAGGTGTTTCCCCAGGCTTCTTGATCAATGATCTCTGATTGGTTGTCTGAACATGTGGTCAGGAGATCCTGTCCCTCCCACTACCAATCAGAGAATTTACCAGGAACTGTCAGACAGTGTGGTCACAGTGCAATTCAGTACACTCCCAGTACAACATTAATGCTAGCTGTACGAATGTGGTAGCATAGCATAAAGCCCACCGCCATGCTGACTCATGATCTATATGGCTTGCCTTCAGAATCCAATAAAGAGACAGAATTTTCTGCAGCAACCAAAGCCCTTCCGTCAACACAGAACCATACCTACCCTGCATTATTATTGGCCATGATATTTCCTCACTTTCTACAAGTTTACAGGGCTGGAAATAAAGACAAATCTCAACAGGGAGACAGACCATGACCAACCCCCCCTCCCTTCTAGAAGAAGAAAACAATTGTATTCAGGGATTGCTTTGCCCCCTTGCCTCACCACATTGTGCAATCAGACAACACTTTGCATCCCGGCAGAAAATGCAATGCATTCTCTGAATGGTGCCTGTGCTGAATGGCTGACCTCCTGCATTCAGTATGCATTTGGCTGGCTGCTCAGCACAGGACCCAGAAGCAAATGGAGATTACTGGAGTAGTGGTGTGTACTGGAGTGATTTCCAGCTTCCAGGCGCACTAGTCAGAAATGGTATATACATTCCTAGGATTTTGTTCTTCCCCTTCAAAATCCTAGGCACTTGCTTATGTGTCTGTTTAGGTCACCAGCACTGGAATCGTCTGGAGCAGCATTTGTATTAAATCTGTAAGGTGACAAAACACTGGACTCCCTCCTCACACCTAGTCTCCCCCACTTTTGTGCAGCCAGTACCGAATGGTCAGCATACTCACGTGAATGGCATGAACCAATCATAATCTGTCTGGCCTGTCCTATCAGTACTGCAAGGCGAGGAGATAAAGCAGTAGGAATGTCAAAATTACTGGATTAGTGAATTAGCATGATAGTGCCTGACAGCACAGGATTGCCGGAGGCAAGTACAGCAGGATGGGGAGAATGGGTCTTCCGGTGTTGGGTCACCATACAGATTTTCTGTAAAGGCAAACACTAAGTTTTCATGTATAAAAAATTCTTGGAGACAAAGTCAAGACGCTCAGCTAGTCACCTAGATGGCTGCACAGAAAAACAGAAAATCTGAGATTACCTTGAGAGTAATTACTGCAGGACACCACCTGCTGGGGGCTCAAAACAGGAGTTTGCTGAAGTCTGCTCATGACACGGATTCTAGATTCCAACATTCCCATTGTAGCAAAAGAGTAACAGCTCCCACAGTTCCCTGGAGAACACACAAAGTTATTATATATCCTCCTGGGTAACCAAACACAGCAATCATTTATTCATTGACAGAAAAGACAACATAATACAGGCACATGCTAAACATAGTAAAATTAAAAGCAGTGTAAACCCAAACAATGAATTTGCTTCCTTTTAGTCTGTTAAATATGCTAGCGTTTGGTTTATATATGTGTGACTATATACACACTATAGTATTGCCAAAAGTATTGGGACATCCCTCCAAATCATTGGATTCAGGTGTTGAAATCCCCTCCATGGCCACAGGTGTATAAAATCAAGCACCTAGGCATGTAGACTGCATCTACAAACATTTGTGAAAGAATGGGTCGCTCTCAGGAGCTCATTGAATTCAAGCGTGGTACCGTGATAGGATGCCATCCGTGAAATTTCCTTGCTACTAAATATTCCACGGTCAACTGTTAGTGGGATTATAACACAGTGGAAGCAACTGGGAACAGCAACTCAGCCACCAAGTGGTAGGCCACGTAAAATGACAGAGCGGGGTCAGTGCATGCTGAAGTGCGCAGAAGTCACCAACTGTCTGCAGAGTCATTAGCTACAGACCTCCAAACCTCATGTGTCCTTCAGATTAGCACAACAGTGTGTAGAGTGCTTCACGGAATGGGTTTCCATGGCTGAGCAGCTGCATCCAAGCCTTACATTGCCAAGTGCAATGCAGAACATAGGATACTGTGGTGTAACGCAGCTTCTCTATCTGGTAATCTGATGGACGTGTAGGTTTGGTGGAGGAGGGACTATGGTGTTGGGTTGTTTTTCAAGGGTTGGGCTTGGCCCCTTCGTTCCAGTGAAGGGAACTCTTAAGGTGTCCACAAACCAAGACATTTTGGACAATTTCATGCTCCCAACTTTGTGGGAACAGTTTGGGGATGGCCCCTTCCTGCTCGACCATTAATGCACACCAGTGCACAAAGCAAGTTCCATAAAGACATGGATGAGTTAGTTTGGGGTTAAGGAACTTGACTGGCCTGCACAGAGCCCTGACCTCAAGCCGATAAAACTCCTTTTGGATGAATTAGAGTGGAGACTCCAAGCCAGGCCTTCTTGTCCGACATCAGTGCCTAACCTCACAAATGAGTTTCTGGAAGAATGGTCAAACATTCCCATAGACACCCTCCTAAACCTTGTGGGCAGCCTTCCCAGAAGAGTTGAAGCTGTTATAGCTGCACAGGGCTGGCCAACTCAATATTGAACCCTACGGACTAAGACTGGGATGCCATTAAAGTTCATGTGTGTGTAAAGGCAGGCGTCCCAATACTTTTGGCAATATAGTGCATCTTTCCCATGACCAGGTGGTGAAACCAAGCTTAAAACAGTGATGTTTCCATAGACCAGGAGAGGTCAGTGACTCGACCTCTCTGCAAATCTTACACTGCAGCAAATCATCCAATCAGCAGCTTGCTGCTCTATGTTCTAGTGCGTGTAAAGGCAGGTGACCCAATATCTTTGGCAATATATCCAACCGCTCCAGCCCTGGCAGACTGATCACACCAAAACCCTCAAACGACGCAGTCGTGCCCTGGAGTGACTATGGCACAAAACAAAATCCCAACAAGCTTTCACCTGCTACAAATCTGCCTTCCGCACCTACACCTCCTCCCTCCACGCAGCCAAACAAGCCTACTTCCTGACCCTCATCAAGGCCCTCTCCTCCAATCCTCGCCGACTCTTCTCCACCTTCAACTCTCTACTCTCTCCACCCCCACCTCCACCCAGCACCTCACTCACCGCCCTTGAGATTGCCAATCACTTCAAAAACAAGACTGACACAATTCGCAAGGACATTGCCACAACTCACACGCTCTCTCAACCCGTCCCCTCTCACACAGCTACCCCCTCATCCCCCCTCCCCCTCGACATTACCCGCAGGGACTTAGTCTCTGCTCAAACTCCCTCCTACCCCGTTCCCCCTCACTCAGCTACCCCCTCATCACCCCTCTCCCACGGCCCCACCACTGCTCTGACCTCCACTCCCACCCCACCCTACCCTACATTCCTCATACTGAAGCTCCCCCAACACTCCACACCTTTGACCTTACTACCATCGAGGAAGTCTCCAAGATCCTCTCTGATGCCCGCCTCACCATCTGCCCCCTCGACCCTATCCCCTCACAATTCCTACGACCTCCCTCCCCCTCCATCCTACGCTCCCTCCCCCCCATCTTTAATCTCTCCCTCTCCTCCGGCACTTTCCCCTCCCCACTGAAGCATGCACACATCACCCCCATACTTAAAAAGCCCTCCCTGGACCCCAATGACCCGAACAACCTCAGACCCATCTCCCTGCTCCCACTTACATCTAAACTCCTCGAGCGCCTCGTCTACACCCGCCTATGCTCTCACCTCAACAACAACCTCCTCGATCCCCTACAGTCTGGCTTCCGTCCCCTACACTCCAACGAAACCGCCTTACTCAAACTCTCCAACGACCTTCCAGTAACCAGCCAAAGCTAATGGCCACTATTCAGTGCTCCTACTCCTTGACCTCTCTGCGGCCTTCGACACAGTTGACCACCCCCTCCTCCTCAAAATACTACACTCCCTTGGCCTCAGAGATTCTGCTCTCTCCTGGCTCTCATCCTACCTGTCACAACGCTCTTTCAGCGTTACCTATAATGCTACCACCTCCCCCTCACTCCCCCTCTCTGTTGGGGTCCCTCAAGGCTCTGTCCTTGGGCCCCTTCTCTTCTCCATCTACACCTCCTCCCTTGGCCAACTCATACACTCTCACGGCTTCAACTACCACCTCTATGCCGACGACACACACATCTATCTCTCAACCCCCCACCTCACCCCCTCGGTCTCTGCCCAAATCACACACCTACTGAGCGACATATCAGATTGGATGTCGCTCCACTTCCTTAAACTGAATCTCTCCAAAACCGAGCTCCTTGTCTTCCCCCCAGCCCGAACCCCACCCCCCATTGACTTCTACATCACATCCAACAACGCCAATATCAAACCCGCTCTGCAGGCCAGAGTACTTTGTGTCATTCTGGACTCCAACCTATCCTTCCAGCCACAAGTCCAATCTTTAACAAACTCATGCAGACTCCACCTCCGCAACATCGCCAAAATCCGCACGTTCCTAACCCCAGAAACCACTAAACAGCTCATCCACTCCCTCATCATATCACGACTCGACTACTTTAACTCCCTCCTTACTGGCCTGCCTCGCCGCTGGCTATCCCCGCTTCAGTCCATCCTGAATACGGCTGCCAGACTCATTCACCTTTCCAACCGCTCCATCTCCGCCACCCCCCTCTCTGCCAATCCCTCCACTGGCTTCCGATTGCGCAACGGATCAAATTTAAAATCCTAACACTGACGTACAAAGCTGTCCACCATACTGCCCCGAACTACATCACTGACCTAATATCCAAGTACCGCCCAGCACACACACTCCGCTCCTCACAAGACCTCCTTCTCTCTAGTTCCCTGGTCTCCTCCTCCCATGCCCGCCTCCAGGACTTCTCCAGGGTGTCACCCATCCTCTGGAACTCCCTTCCCCAACCCATCAGATTATCACCTACTCTCCTCTCCTTTAGGCGTACCCTGAAAACCCATCTCTTCAGGGAAGCCTACCTCACCCCCTGCTAACTTGCTGACCTCCTCCACTCTTCCTACCACTCCATCCCCCACAGCTATCTCCTCCTGTACCACTATCCCGTCCCTTCTAGATTGTAAGCTCGAAAGAGCAGGGCCCTCGATCCCCTCATGTTTTGCATTGTATTGGTATTGTTCTGTCACATGTTCTGTCCCCCTTTGTAATGTACAGCGCTGAGTGAACTATTGGCGCTTTATAAATACTGTATAATAATAATAATAATAATAATAATATATATATAAAATATACAACCACCTGTTGAGTCTTGTTTACTCTCTGCAATGTCATCACAAACATTATTAATCCTGTCCTGCCCAGCTCACTTCCGTGAACTACCCACCATACTAAACAAACAAAAAACACAAAACCCAAACCACACAGAGAAGCAAAACAAACAGTATATGTAAAGAAAACTAGATCTCCTTTAAAGTGGCTGCTAAATATAGCTTCTAGCAGGCATTTACCTGCAGCAGCCTTTATTGTCCCCCTGCACCCCAAAGTCAGACCATTCTAACGGCAGTTATCAGACCCCTCCCACACATGCTGATTTGCTAGTAAGGCAGCTGGAAGCCACCTAAATATTACTTCCACCAGTGTACACAGCAGGCATGCCCGCTGCAAGTCCAATGTCAGCATTCTTGCCATCTACATCAAGTGAAGTTCGGGGGCAGAGTATACTTAATGCAGGTCTTTTTGGAAGGTCTGTTCATCCCAAGAGAATCTCAGGTGCCATACGCGGCTTGGGCCTAGAATCCAGGCACAATGAAAGATTCTAAATTCCTAAAAAACTTCTACTCCCAACATGTGCCAGGTATGACATTTTTCAATTGTTTAAGGTCAGTACACACAAATCTTTGAAAAAGTTTCCATAAATGCCTTTGGCTGGATTCTGAGCAATCATAACCGTTAACTACAGTTCTTTGGGATAAAAACAGAACAAAAACACACAACACCCTAAATTTTAGCTGTAAGCTTCCTATACATTGCTGGCAAAATGGAATAAAATGTTAACGCAGACTACAAAAAAAAAAAAAAAAAAGGCAATTTCCTTAGCAAGGTGAAAAACATATCTGGATTCATCTTTACTGTCCATAGAGTGTCAGAGCATAGCATTATACATTTATGTGTGAAACATTACTTCCTATATACCTTGATTCCTGACAGGGCTGACAAAGTTGTATCCTCCAACATTCCTCCAGTCCCAGGCATCAGGCAGGCCCTTGTATTTCTCCTCTATGGGCATTGGAGCCGGAGGTGGTATGCTGCAAGATTGGTAAAGAACTGTATTAACTTCATACTTAAAGCTCAACTCCAACTGTTTTAAAAGCACTTTAGGATAGTGTGGGGGAAGACCTATATAAACCTTAAGTCATTTATATTTGTCTTTGGTATCATTGGGAGACTTTCCTTCACTCTCTGTTGCGGTTATGCCCACACAAGAAATGGCGACATGCGAGTATCATAGGGACAAAAGCAATAAAAACAATTCTTTGTACTTGTAAAATCCTAATCTGCGGTCGAGAATTTCAGCCCTTGGTGGGGCTAAGTTGGGTTCTATTGCTACCTGTAGAAGCAGGACACTACATACAAAAAAAAATACTTGGGATGGTCCCTTCCCATGGCAACCAAAGGATTTTAGTATGTACAAAAAAAAAAAAAAAAAATCCTATTTTCATGCAGGGCGGACCCCACCTGCAATCCCCTTGCACAGCAATGGATCTGTCTGCTGATCATAGTCACAAAATTGGCTTCCATATCAGAATGGGAGATCACTTGAATATTCAAATAATGGACAAAAGAAATCCATCATAGCACCGAAAAGGCGAACATCAGGGCCAGCAAACTGGTGAAGACTGAAGGCGCTGATGCCAGTCTGAACAGGAGAGCCACAAACTGGTAGTGGCCCTCCAGTCACAAAAAATGGTGAAAAATGGGCATCTGACAATCCAGGATGTATAGGTAAGCATCCTTGATCTCTGTGAATGAGGCTAGGAAAGGGGATAGGAAGTTGAAGAAAAAAAAACCCACACGTTGAGTAGCAGGGATTCAAACACTATCCTGTGGCTGGAGTTTGCATGCTATCCACAATCTGCACCAACCAGGGAATGGGAAAGTAGAGACGATGTGCAGGTGGGGGAACAAACCTGTATGTGGATTCCTCTGTGGACTTGGCAGCTTTGGTTTGCCAGGGATGCTTGGCTCCCCAAGGAAGTTGAGGACTCAACAGGCTTTGTTCCCCTGTTGATCCCTGTGCTGTAAAAAGCCACTTGTGAGATGAAGAGGAGGGCCCCCATTTATGACATATGTCCTCTGCTTTCTTGAGGCAAGACAAAAAAGGTACTCTTGCTTCCCATCATCTCATCCAGCATTGCGCCAAACCAGCAGCTACCCATAAATGTAGCTCCGTCAGGACCTTCTTGGACACCTGATCTGCCAACCATCACCAAAGCCATACTAGTCTGCAAATAGTACCACAAAGCTTGGTATCTGTGGTTGCCAAGGGAAGCACACTAAGGGAAGCACACCAAACACAGCATTACATGCATATTTAAGCCCTTAAAGTTGCTCAGTTAATTCACGTAAATAGGAGACCTATTTGCCAAGTCTTGGTGCAAATTGTTAGTGCATTCTATCAAAAATATGGGACACCATTGCGGACAGCAAAATCATTTAATAGCAGATCCAGGAAACAAAAAAAAAAAAAAAAAAAAAAAAAGTATAGGGAACCAAAAAATATTTTGGAACCACATACAGGTTGGATGCTTATAATCTTGGTAAAAATTATCCAAGACTGCTTGGGCTTAGGAATATATATATGAAAAAAAAAATTGCCTATAGTTTACGTTAAATGTAGCAGCTGCAAATAGCAAAGGGAGCCTACCCCATCAAGACTCAAGACCCCAATTAGAACATGTACCAAACAAGCTCCCCAAGGTCCATAAGCATGTGCAGTTCGTTGCCCACACTGAGGCTGTGCAGGAGACACGGACAAGGGCAGATGCCCAATCCCAAAATTGTGCCATGAAATGCACTATAAAAGCGTGGGGCAGCGGTGGGGTCCCACATTTGCCTTGGAAATGGCAGAGCTCAGGAAAGAATGAGCAGCACTGGATGTTCACCTAGGCTGGAGGGGCACAGACAACACAAACAAAAAAAACCCCACAAGCCATGTTTAGCAGAGAGCTGGGGGAGTTTCTTGGCCACTGGCAGGTGCTGACCCGTGGGTTGGTTGTACCTTTGTTTCGAACTCAGCATCTCACCCCTGTAGGTGACACTACAACCCAGCCATCACGTTCCAAGTATTTTTTTTTTTAAAGATAAATTGTATGTAAATCATTAATGCACTGGTAGCTGGCTATAGACACTTGCATAACATGCTAATGCCACCAGCATCCTTACACAAGGGAAAAAAAAAAAAAAAAAAATACCTTGCGATTCTTGATTTACGACCACCAGCTCTTTTGAGGATATCCTCCATTGACATGGTTTTATATTCAGGATACACTGTTGCGGTCCATGATTTCTGAACAGAGTTTATTTGTTCTACAAATGCAGGGTTGTTTCTGTATGGGATGCTAGATAAAATGGAAAAAAGTAAAAGAAAATGGTAAACTAGGAGGTACAAAACCATCTAGTTTATAGAAAAACTAACATTTAAAGCAATATTAAGCCTAAAACCAAAAAATGTAATATATTGCAGCTAAACAATCCTCAGATGTGGTGGCTGCATTAATTTTCAGACTGGTTGATCCTGCTGTTCTCTGATCCTCCCCTTCTTATACAGTCTCAAATCCACCTGTCAATGGTACAGAGGAACAGTGGCAAGTCTGCACAAACTTCATTTTGTGTGTATTACTACAGATAACATTTCCTCTATGATCGGAGCTATTCAGCTCATAAGACTGACAGCACACATTAGGGAGTATATACAGATCCCAAGTCCCCCCCCCCCCCCCCCCCCCCTTAACCCAAAGTACAGTGAGTGGGCTGTCACATCTTGATTGACGGAGGCACCGCCTCCCATAAAAGCATGTGCACAAAGGCTTTAGTGGAGGGTGCATGTGATCGACACGGAGCCCTCAGTGCTGTCCAGACAGAAGGTCAGGGGTCATACAGCCTTTGCATGGAGGAAACTCAGAATGAAAACTCCCCCTAGAAGCTGAACCAGCACTCAGCCAGACAGAGAAACCAGTCACATGACTGCTGTATATCACAGCTGAGAAGACATTTAATGGTTTAAATTTTACTAAAATAAATGCATTACCATATTTTATGTACCATGGGAGACCTTGTATTGTTAATTTAGTGTCATGGAGTTTAGCATCACTAAAATCCACACAAAATACTGTTTGGCGTGCTGACAGATTTGCCTTTTGTAGTTCTATTGTGGGTGTTTGGAAGGAAATCACTATTCTTCAGTCAAAATACCCAATGACATGAACAGTGGTTTAGCCATAACTTTATTAGGGGAAGCATTGTGTGAATTGTCATAACATCTTCATCTTCGTAAGGCGTATGGTGGTGACAAGTCTCGTTACTCTTTGGATAGGTGTACTATAAAATACCCTTTAATACGTCTATTTGTGCACAATATGCAGACTTCAAGCTGCTGTTCCTGAACATTAAGAGGTCATGTTAAAGCTTACCGCAGGAAACAGATACTGTTCAGCCCTCATCCAGGATGAAGGTCCATTTAAAGCAGAATAAACAAGCCACTAAAACGTTAGGTGCAAATAACGAAACTTACTGTCCTGCTTCAAGAGGGAAGGGTGCTGGATTCAGTTTCTTCCCAGAAGACCCACTTATTTTCTTCCCAACAAAACAAGCCCAGTTGCGACCCAGAACATCATGTACCCAGCCGGGGAAGGTATCGTGGCAAAAACTAGTGACGTTGGAGCCATGCTGTTCATACTGAAAAGAAACACATTTGAATGCATATTTACGGTAAGGTTTCACAAAGTTCAGTGGCAGGAGGTACAATTGATGGCACCTACACCAGTCTTTGGAATTAATTTGGCTTACTGTACTTTAATACTGCAGGAATACGGCATTTGCCTTGATTTAGGCAGTTAAGCAGAGGTCCTGGAAAGGCCAAGATGAGTGGGTTATTTTTCATGGGCTTTGAGACTTCATCCCAGGCCTGGGCCAGTGTAAACCTGGTTACATTCTGCTCGTCAGCAGTCTGTACTGTACAGTGTAGACAGCAATCTGTAGACCATGACTAAAAACCAAGGAAAGGCATTCACACAGAACAGTTTTGATCTGTTAAGACCTAAAATGCACAATTATTCTGTAATGATCTGCATGCGCTGTAAGGCTAGGCTCACGTGTTTTGTAGGTGGAAGAAAAGGAGACAGAGGCGCCCATCTGAGTGTAGTAATAACACTGTATTTAATAGCAAAGGATTAAAAACACTCACAAAGGAATAAAAACAAGCTCATCTCTGTATATTAGAGATGACTGTCCCACAAAACAACCTGCAGGCGCCACCAGTGGTTAGTGCAATAGCAGCTGGGCTGATGGAGATGGTAAGATACTGTAGTGGTCAATCCTGCAGAGTGGTGGGGTTGTAGAGCCGATCCAGCAGAGTTTGCGCAGGAAGGAGCCTAGTAACCAGCCTGGAACACACCGGCAGGAAGTGACATCACAGGAAGAGGCAAAGTGTCAGTGGGAGGAAGAGCACAGACGTGGGACAGTCAGCTATGCGCTTGGAGCCTCAAGCTCCTTCTATTGGCCTGGTAGACCTTGGGGAAGTAGCAGCCTAAACAGAGGAAGTTCTAATCCTATACCCACAGCTGATCCAGAGGAAGACAAAAAAAAAAAAAAAGCCCAACAAAGTATGATCCAATTTGCTCCTGCAGGGGAAGAAATTCCTTCCTGATCCTCCGAGAGGCAATTGGATATTCCCTGGATCAACTTTACCTATAAATGTTCGTATCCAGTTATATTCTGTGTATCCAAGAAACAATCCAGGACTTTTTTAAAGCAATCCACTGAGCTGGCCAGAACCAAACTCTTAAGGGAGTCTATTCCATATTTTCACAGCTCTCACTGTGAAGAAACCTTTCCGTGTTTCTCAGGAGAAAATTCAGTTCCTCTAATCTTTCCTCATAGCTGAGCTCCTCCATGCCTCGTATCAGTTTGGTTGCCCTTCTCTGTACTTTCTCCAGTTCCCCAATGTTCTTTTTGTGAATTGGTGCCCAAAACTGAACTGCATATTCCAGATGAGGTATTACTAATGATTTGTACCGGGGTAATATGATATCTCTCTCTCTGGAGTCTTTACCTCTTAATACAAGAGAGGATTTTGCTCGCTTTAGAAACCACAGCTTGCCATTGCATGCCATTATTAAGCTTGTGATCTACCAGATCCTTCTCCACCATTGATTCCCCCAGTTGTACCCCCCCTAGTATGTATGATGCATATTCTTAACCCCCAAGTGCAGAACTTTACATCAACATTACACCTCACTTGCCACATATTTGCCCAATTACACAGAGCATCGAGGTCAGCTTGTAAGTTGGAGACATCCTGTAAGGACGTTATTCCCCTGCACAGCTTGGTGTCATCTGCAAAGACTGAGATGGCATTTATAATCCCAGACCCTATATAGTTTATAAATATATTAAAAAGTAAGGGTCCCAACACTGAACCTTGGGGTACACCACTGACATCCCTAGGCCATTCAGAGTATGAATCATTAACCACTACTCTCTGAATACCATCTTTTCAGACAGTTTTCTATCCATTTAGATACAGATTTTCCCAAGCCCCTGGACTTTGCCTTACACATTAGCCATGTGTGCGGAACTGTATCAAACGCTTTTGCAAAATCCACTTATACCATGTCCACCCCCACCCCTCTGATCAAATATTCCACGTCCCCAGCCACCCCTCTGTCCAAGGTTTTGCTCACCTCCTCATAAAATGAAATCAGATTCGACAACTTCTGTCTTTCATGAATCCATGCTGTCTGTTGCTTAAAATATTTTTTTCCAGCAAGAACTCATCTATGTGGTCTTTTATTAAACTCTCCAGTATCTTCCCAACTATAGAAGTTAAACGAACAGGTCTATAATTACCTGATAAAGATTGACCCCTTTTTAAATATTTACACCACATTGGCCTTACGCCAATCCAGTGGTACTATGCCAGTCATTAAAGAGTCCCTAAAAATGAAAAACATTGGCTTTGAAATAACAGAGCTCAATTCTTTAAGGACCCGTGGGTGTATGTCATCCGGTCCAGGTGCTTTACTCACCTTTATTCTGTCTAAATATTTTTGGATCATATCATATTAAGTGTGGATCATCTGGAGCTGTGTCAATACCATGCCCATTATGGACAAGAGCTCCCCCCATCCTCCTTTGTATACACAGAGCTGAAGAAGGTATTTAATAAATGTGCCTTCTCTTTGTCCCCAGTCACCCTCTCTAGATTAGAGTGCGATAATGTTGTGCATGGAAGCAAATAAAGCCATTCAATGTATTTACATACTACAAACAAGGGGGGGTAGAAGGCAAATATATAACCTACCTTAAAAAATGCAAACCACTTCATGCTATTTATCACGACCTCAAACCCTTGATTGTAGATTATGGTAACAAATCCCACATTTCCAAGGTCATCCTCCGCAACATCCAGCTCTTTAATAGTCACTGTTACTTTCTTTTTCAGATGGACCTGAGAACAGGAAAACCATACACATGAATCCCCCTGGGCTCTGAACAATATTGTCATGTGGCAGCAATCAAAGATAAGACTAGCAGGAGTGTCCAACCTGCAGCCCACAGGGGTCCAATACAGCTATGAATGTGGCCCCACACAATTGTAAACTTACGGAACCACCTCAATACCAGGCACTATTACCCCCTTTCTGCAAAGGCAAATTTTCAGCTGTCGCACTTTGAATGACAATTGCGGGGTCCTGCAATACTGTATCCATATGAAATTTTTAGCATTTTTTTCCGTACAAATAGAGGTTCATTTCGGTGGTATTTAATCACCACTAAGGGGTTTTATTTTTTGTGCTATAGACAAAAGAAAAAAAAAAAAAAAAAAAGGCAAATGTCTTTGTTTCTGCTATAAAATTTTGCAAATGATTTAAATTTAGGACAACATGTATTTGTTGGGTTATTTCTTTGGTGAAAAAAAAACAAAATCAGCAGTTATTTAGTTGGTAGGAAAGCTCTAGAGTCCTCAAACTATGGCATATCTCTGAAAATTGATCAATCCTGATGTACTCACGGCATATCTCGTTTATTGAGGCCAAAAATGCCAGGACAGTACAAATAACCCCTAAATGACTGCTGCTCAGAAGGAGACAGTCTGAGGCATGGCGAGTTTTTTGAAGTCGTCATTTTTTGTGGAAAATTAAGAATTTTGCACAATTTTTTTTTTTTTTTTAACCATATGGTCGCCAATGCAGTGCAGCATTATTATATAACTAGTGTGGTGGTGATCAGGGAAACTGGCTACAGTATGTAAAAAAAAAAAAAAATTTAAACGTTTACTCCTGTGCCCAGAGCAATACAATGTTACCATAGTAACATTGTACTATGGGCAAGTGATCAGGATTTTTTTTTTCTTCACTGGTATAAACAACCATTTTTACAGAATGAAACCGATTCATTCAGTAGTTATTACTGATCACATGGTACAGATGGGCTGTGATTGGCCCTGTATGTACCATGTAATCACTGGTACATTTGTATCATGTTTGTTCTGGATTTTTGGTTGATATTCTGTCTCTAATTTAAAATGCACCCATGAAAAAAAATTATAGACCTTTCATTTCTTTGTAAGTGGGCAAACTTACAAAATCTGCAGGGGATCAAAATTATTTTCCCCACTGTAGATAGTGGTCACTAGTGAAGATGTCCTCATTGGACAATGTCCATCGTTTCTCTCCTAGAAAAAACAGTCACAAAGACAAAGATGGTAAATCTCCAATTCAAGCTGGGCAGGTCTTGAAAACCATGAAAAATACTAATAGTGGGAAATGAGGAGCAGAATTTGGTACCACCACTTGTTTTCTGAATCAACAACATTTCTAAATAAATATTTTCTGATCATGACACTGCATTGAGCAATCAGCTTCACATGAGTGGCCTCACCTCATGACACAGAACTGTTTAACCAGCAAAGTCAGCTTTCAATAACAATGAGGAAGTCAGTGCTAGCCAAGTCAAAATGAACACAAAAAGATCTTCGAGTTGAAATTCTAGATATCTTCTGTTACAGGATCTGTAACTTTTCTGCCAAGTCCCACAACAAAGCAAAACAGAACTAGATCCATTTCAGCTTATATAACAGAAGAGGATATTTGACACTTCCTATTAGGCTGGAATTATAGGCAATATATAGTGTCTGGTTTTCCTGAATTGCTCTTTTATCTCCATTCTCAGACCGACCACATTAAATTGCTGAATGCTGCCGCTAACTGCCACTTCCTGCTAGTGTTGCTGGTCCATAAACCTTTTACTGTACTGGTGATGCATAAATGTCAGACGCTTTTCATGGATGATGCCACACAAGTTCGACAAAAATCTCCTAAACAGTTTCCTTTCTAAGAAGGTGAGGTAACAATTTAGCCACTAACTGCTGTTAAAACTAGTATTCATATGCCCTAGAAACAAGTATCACCAAAACATCAGTGACACATGGCACCCTGATGGCCACTCCGATTGGTTCTATGAAGTAACTGTGGTCACCTGACTTGGGGGAGGGGGAAAGGTGGGAGAAGCGCAGCTCAGTTGCAGGGTTTTACCACCCCCCACCCGCTAATGGCAACATACTTTCAGGCATCAACAGGATATTTTCTGTATTTACAGTGTTTTTTAGCCGCCTCCTGCCTGCTATATAAGGAAATGACGGGAGGGCGGCGATTCTCTCGTCCTGGGAGGACGTCATATCATGTCCTTTAACTCTAACTGCGCATGCACGCCCCCGGTGATCGGTGATGCGCTGTGCCCCTAGGACACAGTATCACCAATCACAGTAATGAGACAATGACACAGGCTGTCATGTGATCAGCTGTATCCAATCACAGCTGATTGCATGATAAAAAACGGTTATCGGCAGTCCTCTCCGCACGCTGACAGCGCGTGAGGAGAGCTGGTAAGCGGCATTCCTCAGAGGGGACATCTACACTGATCATCAGGGTACTGATAATCAGTGTAGCCCCATCAATGCCACCTGTCCGTGCCCATCACTGCAGCCTCATTAGCGCACATCAATGCCACCTGTCAGTGCCCATCAATGCCACCTGTCAGTGCCCATCAATGCAACCTCATGCGCACATCAATGCCACCTGTCAGTGTCCATCAATGCCGCCTCATTAGCGCACATCAATGCCACCTGTCAGTGTCCATCAATGCCGCCTCATTAGCGCACATCAATGCCACCTGTCAGTGTCCATCAATGCCGCCTCATTAGCGCACATCAATGCCACCTGTCAGTGCCCATCAATGCAGCCTCATTAGCGCACATCAATGCCACCTGTCAGTGCCCATCAATGCAGCCTCATTAGCGCACATCAATGCCATCTGTCAGTGCCCATCAATGCAGCCTCATTAGCGCACATCAATGCCACTGTCAGTGCCCATCAATGCAGCCTCATTAGCGCACATCAATGCCACCTGTCAGTGCCCATCAATGCAGCCTCATTAGCGCACATCAATGCCATCCTGTCAGTGTCCATCAATGCCGCCTCATTAGCGCACATCAATGCCACCTGTCAGTGCCCATCAATGCAGCCTCATTAGCGCACATCAATGCCATCTGTCAGTGCCCATCAATGCAGCCTCATTAGCGCACATCAATGCCACCTGTCAGTGCCCATCAATGCAGCCTCAGCGCACATCAATGCCACAAGTCAGTGCCCATCAATGCAGCCTCAGCGCACATCAATGCCACCTGTCAGTGCCCATCAATGCCACCTCATTTGCACACATCAATGCCATCTGTCAGTGCCCATCAATGCCACCTCATTTGCACACATCAGTGATAGAGAAAAATTACGTATTTACAAAATTTTATAACAGAAACTAAGAAATTTTTTTTTAAAAGTCTTTAGTTTGTTTAACAAAATATAAAAAAAGCTCTCAGTGGTGATTAAATACCATCTAAACAAATCTGTCTAAAAAAAAAAAAGATAAAAATGTTGTTTACAGTGTTGCATGACTGCGCAACTGTCAAAGTGTAATAGAGCTGAAAGCTGAAAATTGGCCTGGGCAGGAAGGGGGTAAAAGTGCCCGGTAGGTAAGTGGTTAAAGTATGTCAAGCCGACTTGGGATTCTAATCCTGCCCCACTTGCACACTACTTGTACAATGCCAGTGTACAGCAGGATAAATTGCCTCCTGTGTGCATGCACACGAGTACAGAGCACGGCCAATCAAGGAAGCTGAAGATCCTGAAGCCAGCGAGATGATATCAGCACTGGTGAGTGAGCTCAGACATCACATCACTGAAGCACAGGAGAGTCAAGTTCTGCTTTAAGGGGCGATTCACACTATTAGAAATGCAGTCAAGATGCATTCCGGATGAGTTCTCGCATGAGTGTTTGACGCGTTCCACTGCGTTTTTGCATTCCAGTTAATTTTTTCCCCTCTCTTTCTTCAACTTAAACAGACATGTGCATTCTAGTGCGTTTTCCCACGTTCCAGTACAGTTCTGTGCAGGAAAAAAATGCAGTATGTTCTACTTTCTTTTCTGCAACCAGAAAGCACTGAAACTGTAAGCACTGATGTGAATTATGACATTGACAACCATATAACCCACTTCTGTGCATTTTGGATGCAGGAAAAAAAAAAAAAAAACGCAAATGAAATGCATGTAGTGTAAACTGGCCCCAAAGGAAGTTGAAAAATAGAAGACTTGCAGGCAACAGAGGGAACACTGAAAAACAGACTGCTGTGTTAATGTTAGTGACTGACTACATTGTATGTCTTTTTAAAAAAAATCAGACCAGAGTTACACTTTAATGGGCTCATACAATACTGGACCCGGAAGATGCACAGCCCAAACTGATGGCTACATGCAGAGACCATGTCTGGAGGTAGCAGTCACTAAACCAAGGTTCACACTGAATGAGACTTTGAAATCCCACTATTTCACTTGAAGTAGCGCAATTTCAAAGCCGCAGGTTAGTGCGATTTCATGTGCGACTTGCCTGATATCTGTGTGACTTCATGCACACAGATGTCTATGCAAGTTGCACATGAAATTGCAAAAAAAAGTAAAGGAGATTTTTTTTTCCCCAAATCAGTGCGGCATCTCAAAATCAGTGTGGCAACGATTTGGACTGTTTCACAGGCACAAATAGTGCGACTTGGAACTGTCAAATTGCATGACAATGTGAAGCAGGGATAAAGAAAAGAGCTATGACCATATCACCCAGAAACCTTTGCAGTGATTTGCGGAATTAAAGGGACTTTCCCAGAGAGAATTGAAAGTTACACAACTGCCAATAGAGGTGCCAGAAGTGATCACATGGCAAGACTGAAACAGATCTCTACACAGGAAACAGGGAAGTGTAAAGTACGGGCAGACAGAAAAACATCGTCCCATTCACCACTATGCCAGGTCAGGGGGGCGCTGTATTGTTGCTCAGAGGTTGGTTTTTTTTTTTTGCATTTATCTGAGCACAAGTCTGTAAGTTTAAGAAGTGTATGTATAAAAGTGGTTGCATACAGCATGAAAACCAACAATGACGTATAAAAGTACACAACAGGAAAGGATCCCCCACACAGCTACATGGACGGGACACAGGTCCCCCTCCACACATCTAAAAAGGGACCTAACACCAATTCATACAGGAAAAACTGGTCCCCCCCCCACCCTAACACCCATCTAAGGGAATGGACATGGGTCCACACTACTCTGTACATCTACACGGACCGGATACAGGTTTCCCCCCTCCCTCATACATCTACAGGGGCGGGCACAGGTCCTCCCCCCCCCCACACATCTACAGTGACTGGGCAGTGGTCCAACCCCCTCCACACATCTACAGGGACCAGACACAGGTCCCCCCCCACACATCTACAGGGACCAGACATGGGTTCCCCCTCCACAGGGATCATACAGGTCCTTCCCCCTCACACATCTACAGGGACCAGACACAGGTTCGCCCCCCACACATCTACAGGGACCAGACACAGCCCCCCCCCCCCCACGCATCTACAGGGAACCGGACATGGGTTCCCCCTCCACAGGGATCATACAGGTCCTTCCCCCTCACACATCTACAGGGACCAGACACAGGTACCCCCCCACGCATCTACAGGTACCAGACATGGGTTCCCCCTCCACAGGGATCAGACAGGTCCTCACTCCCCCCCCCCCCCGTACACATCTACAGGGACCAGACACAAGTCCCCCCCACGCATCTACAGGGACTGGACATGGGTTCCCCCTCCACAGGGATCAGAAAGGTCCCCTTCACACATCTACAGGGACCAGACAAGGGTTCAGTGCCCCCCCCCCTCCACATTAGTACAGGGGCTGGACACAGGTCATTCCCCACCCACCACCACATCTTCAGGGACCAGGCATGGATCCACCTCCTCAGCACATCGACAGGGGCATGACAAGTTTCCTCCCCTCCACATTACTACAGGAACCAGACACGAGTCCTTCCCCACCAACCACACTTTCCTCCCCCCCCCCCCCCCCCTTTCCTCCCCCATACATCTACAGGGATTGGACAAGTCCCCCCTCCACATTACTACAGGGAACAGATAAGGGAGCCCCACTCACATCTACAGGGACCAGACAGGACGCGGGTCATCGCCCCCCCCCCCCCCCCCTTCAGTGTGTGAACGGATTTCAAGTATACTTAAAAGGAAAAGCATGTTTTAGTTGTGGTTAAAGCTGTGCTGGATTAGAACCCCTGTCATGATTTTATTGCAGTCTATGGCTCCATTAGGGAGACTCACCCTCTATTTGTCATGTTTACTGTTATCACGGAAAGTGAAAGTTAAAGAAAATCCCAAATTTGGAGTTGTCTCCAAAACAGGAATAGAGGGATATTTTCCAATGGGGACACTGCTTCTTGTGACAACCAAGGATTTCCTCTCACTTCCTGTTTTGGCTATGGGACAGGAAGTGAAGGGAAATCTCCCCAATGGGACACAGATGGCAAAATAAGACTGGCAGGGGTTATAACCCTCCCTTACTCTATCCAAAATGAAAAAGTCCTGCCTATAGTTCTACTTTAACCCCTTGGCGCTGACCATATGCAAATATGCGGCCTCTCGGTGATTGGGCCTTGACGCTGAGCGACCGCATATTTGCGTACCATTTGAAAACACATGTGATGAGACCGCGTGCCCTGTGAGTTCCCAGCACATATGTCAGTGTCTCACAGAAAGGTCCCGATCTCCCCTTGCGATCGGGACCTTTTCCGATCATGTGACCGCCGTGACAGCGAATCACATGACCCTAAAACCCCTTAAAGGGCTGGGAGGAGCCGGCGTGAAGAGGTTAATGGCCCTGCAAGGGTTAGGAACACAGACATGAAGGCAGCTCAGGTGAGCCCTGTACTGAGGGAGTATCTTCACAAGCAGCAATAAAGTCTTCAGAAATTGCACACAAATTGAGCGATTTTAAACTGCAGTGGTACTACGGGCCAGTTCACACCATGCATTTCAGTTGCTTTTTTTATGCATCCAAAATGCACAGAAAGTAGGTTATATGGTTATCAATGTCCTAGTTCACATCAGTGCTTGCAGTTCCAGGAAAAAAAAAAAAAAAAAAAAAATCCTAGAACAGGCTGCATTTTTCCTTTACCGGAATGCGGTAAAACGCATCAAAAACATGGGAAGGCACATATCCCTATTTAAATTGAAAAGGAGAAAAACAAAAAAAATATCAGAAAGCATCAAATGTGATGGGATGGGCGCGCGCGCACACACTTTGGTAAAAAAAAAAAAAAAAATGCACCGGAATGCATCAAAAACACGCATGTGGAAACACATCTGGACTTCATTTCTATAGTGTGAACCAGCCCTAAAGGAAAGCCACAGGCAAAAACCTTTTTTCATTATTTTGAATAGAGTAATGCAGGCCATAGACGGGTCGAAAACCGGCTGTCTTTTAAAAAAATAAATAAATAAATAAAATCGGTCGTTCGATAGGCTGACGTTGTCACCAACGTGAAAAAAAAAAAATGGCCGATTTTCATCCCGTCTACGGCCGGCATTTAATTACTTCTGTCCCTGCAGAGAGCTCAGCTATTATATTTGACATTAAAAAGTATTGCGGTTGCAACAATGTATCTATTTGTATCCATTTTGGAAACAGATTTTTTATTTGGATACAAAGATACGTTGTTGCAACCGCAAAACTTTTTCATGTCAAATATAATAGCGGACTGGAATTCTTCTTTTTCTTCTTCTTGCAGGTCACGGCTTATGCACAGATTTTTTAATCGGTAAAAAGATCGGCCGATATGCCCATCATTGCCGCGAATATCGACCGATTTTTTCCCAACTTTACCGAGAAAAAAAAAAAGTGCCAAAATCCAGAAAAAACGCTTACCAATTAACCCACTAACAGTGCGAAAATCAGCCAATTTTTTTTTCGCCCGAAAAAACAGCTAATTTTCGACCCGTCTATGGCCTGCATAAGACCCCGGTCACACCAGGTGCGACATGCCAATCGCATGCATGCATGCGTCACACCCCATTGGCCGCAATTACAGCGGTCATATCGGTGCGGTTCCAACTTGGTCGGATCCGCACCAATTTCTAAAATAGTGCATACTATTCAGCTGCGTCTTGCAAGTCACACTTCAAAGTGGAAACACCATCCAACTTTGAAAACATGTGACTGCACTGGAAGTTCCATGATTATGAAGTCGGATCGGTGTGACCGGGGTGTAAGGGAGGCTCATAACCCCCAGTCAGGATTATTTTTTTGCCATTGGCGTCATATTGTGGAGATTTCCCTTCACTTCCTGTCCCAAAGCCAGAACAGGGAGTGAGAGGAAACCCATGCAAAGTGAGGTATTCCTGGGGTGCCCCCATTGGAAGATTTCACCTCTATTCCTGTTCTGGTGACACCACCACATGTAGGATTTTCTTTCACTTTCAACAATAACCATAAACAGGACAAATAGAGGATGACTATCCCTAATGGGGGCACACAAAGCAATAAAAACTGGCAGAGGTTCTAATCCATCACCACTCTGTCCAAAACAAAAGAAAAAAAACAAAGAAACCCCCAACAAAACCAAAAAATACTATATTAAATGACCTCCAACAAGCATGGCAGCTTTCACTTGCTACATGCTTGTTCTGGGTCAGTGACTCCATGCAGGAGAACGGGCAGCCAGGTAACCAGCATTTTCCATGGGCAGCCCCCAGCTTTCTGCCCAATGACTTATCCAGGAGGCAGGAAGGCCTCCCCTCCCCCCAGCCTGGTCCGCAGAGCACGCACTCTATCACACACACAAAGGCCTAGGCCCCTCACCCAGCTGGGAGCAGTCAATGTCTCGGCTCCGCACGCCTCCCTTGCTGGGGCTGACATAGAACTCCCAGGTGCCCTTCATGTCCGGGAAGGAGCAGTTGGCAGGGGTGTCGGCGGCGGCGGGACCGCTCCATGACGCCAGCAACACCAACAACAACACCGAACACACCGTCTCCATCCTGACTAACCAGGGGCGCCGGGCCGAGGAGGGTTAAATAGGGGTCACATGACTCCAGCCGGGGGGAGGGTCATGTGAGGGGAAGTCATGTGCTCGGGGTGAGAGCGGGCACTGACGGGCAGGGGCGGGACTTAGCGGGGAGGTACAAGGGGCGGGGTTAGCTGTGTGTATCTCTGTGCCGTGTGTGAGGAAAACATAACATGCCAATAAAAGATGAATAATAATTAAACTGACAAGACTAGATATTATTATTATTATCATATTTGTAATTATTCTTACCCACTTCCCAGCCAGTACAGGGGGGGTTCAAGTTACAGGGCAGTGTATATCCATGCAACTCCAGCCAGGCTGCCTCTTGACACTTTCAGTTTCCAAAAATAATTTATTTCTTGCTAAAAATATCTTAGAACCCTCAAACATTATATATTGTTTTTAAATCAGAGGTCCTAGAGGATAATAATGGCAGGTATTACAATTTTTATGTCACTTTTGCACAAAAAATGCACTTTTTTGAATTTGAATGCACTAAAACACTATATATTACCCAGTTGTTTGGTAGAATGTAAAAACTGATGTTACGCCGAGTAATTAGATACCAAACATGACATGCTTTAAAGCTGTGCACCCCCGTGCAAAGGACATACATTTTACAATCGCTAGGTGACGCTTAAAAGCCTTTACAGGTTACCACTTTGGATTTACAGAGGAGGTCAGGTGCTAGAATGACTGCCCATGATCTGACGTTAGGGGTGATACCTCCCATGTGCGGGACGATGGCTGCGGGACTGACGCAGGCGTGCGCCTTTGTGCGCATTTACACTTTACATTTTTTTATTTATATTTTTACACTGTTGCTTTAAATTTTATTTTTTTTTAGCACTTTTATTGCTATCACGAGGAATGTAAACATCTGTGACAGCAATAGACATGTGACGGGTACTCTGTATGGAGAGCTCTATGGTTGATAAGACCCCAATCCCTCCTCTGCACCTCAAAGCATTAAAAATACCAAGATCGGTGTGAACAAATGATTTCCAGTTTTAAAAATAGCACCATCGCCGTTAAAATCCAGGTAAAGCGGACGTGATGTAAGGTCATTGCTTCTGGTTCCCGATATCATAGAGCCAAATGGAGTGGTTCCACCCTTTGTCCAGCTCTATGAACAGCTGGAAAAACCCAGCTGGTCGGTTGGGACTCCCGCTGGGACAGGACAGCCCATTAAAAGCCACGGAAGAGGACTTCCACCCCTCCCGCTGACTTCTGTGACTTTAACGCTCGATTTGCTATTACAAGAGATACGACCGTCAACTTTAAAAAAAAAAAAAAAAAAAATTAATAGGTACCAGGCTGATACCTGCAGCTAAAGTAACTAGATGCAACCTTTTTTTTCCCTTCATTTTGGATAAAATAAAAAGGATTATTACCCCTGTCCGTTTTTATTTTGACATTGTGGAGAATTCCCTGAACTTCCTGTCCTACAGCCACAATATGAAGTGAGAGGAAATCCCTCCAAAGTGAGGGAATCCCTGGTTGTCATCAGAACCACAGTGTCCCCACTGGAAGATTTCCCTTCTGTTAGGCTACGTTCACACTAGCCTTGTGTGCAGGCGGCAGAGAGGCGTTTGGAAAGCGTTTTTTACCGCTTCCCAAACGCCTCTGCCAATTCCGCACATTACAGCACATGGTGCTGTTCTAATGGAAGCGTTTGCGTCGCGTCGCGTTGCGTCGCGGCAAAACGGACGCCTCTGGACGAGTCAGGAGGCTTTGAAGCCTCCTATTCTTGTCTATGGTGCCGCTCCGCAAAACGCCCGGCCGGCGTTTGCGGTGCGGTTTGTGGGGCGTTATTAACGCTCGGCAAACGCCTAGCAACCGCCGCTAAACCGCGCATGCGGCGTTTGCCGAGCGTTAATAACGCTCTGCAAACGCCGGACCAACGCTTGCCAAACGCTATAGGGGCGTTTGGCAAGCGTTGGCAAAACAGCCTAGTGTGAACGAGCCCTTACTGTTTTGGGGTCAACTCAAAATTTGGGTTTTCTTTTCTTTCACTTTTGCTGACAACAGAAAGTAAGAAGGAATCCATGATTCATAGTTGCCAACATTTAAAAAAAAAAATTTCTAGGGACATTTCTTTTTTACTGTGTGTTCAGCAAGCCATACTGGGCAGAGAATGTCTTAATGAAGGGCACATTTATTTCATATGGGTGTGGTTCTAAAAGATGCATACTGTTAACCTAATGGCATCCTTTAATCATATAGATGTACAGTAGAGGGGTGTGGAGGTTATGACAGTGGGCAGTATATACAGGAGAGGGATGTGACAGTGGGCAGTATGCACAGGAGAGGAATGTGGCGGGTATGACAGTGGGCAGTATATACAGGAGAGGGATGTGACAGTGGGCAGTATGCGCAGGAGAGGAATGTGGCGGGTATGACAGTGGGCAGTATATACAGGAGAGGGATGTGACAGTGGGCAGTATGCGCAGAGAGGAGGAATGTGGCGGGTATGACAGTGGGCAGTATATACAGGAGAGGGATGTGACAGTGGGCAGTATGCGCAGGAGAGGAATGTGGCGGGTATGACAGTGGGCAGTATATACAGGAGAGGGATGTGACAGTGGGCAGTATGCGCAGGAGAGGAATGTGGCGGGTATGACAGTGGGAAGTATGCGCAGGAGAGGGGTGTGGAGGGTATGACAGTGGGCAGCATGTACAGGAGAAAGATGTGGAGGGTATGACAGTGGGCAGCATGTACAGGAGAGGGGTGTAAAGGGTATGACAATGGGCAGCATGTACAGGAGAGGACTGTGGAGGGTATGACAGTGGGCAGCATGTACTGGAGAGGACTGTGGAGGGTATGACAGTGGGTAGCATGTACAGGAGAGGACTGTGGAGGGTATGACAGTGGGTAGCATGTACAGGAGAGGAATGTGGAGGGTATGACAGTGGGCAGTGTTTACAGGAGAGGAATGTGGAGGGTATGACAGTGGGCAGTATTTACTGGAGAGGAGTGTAAAGGGTATGACAGTGAAAAAGCATGTACAGGAGAGGGATGTGGAGGATATGACAGTGGGCAGCATGAACAGGAGAAGGGTGGGGAGGGTATGACAGTAGGCAGCATGTACGGAAGAGGAGTGTGGAGGGTATGATAGTGGGCAGTATGTACAGGATAGGAATGTGGAGGGTATAACAGTGGGCAGAATGTACGGAAGAGGAGTGTAAATGGTATGACAGTGGGCAGCATGTACAGGAGAGGAGTGTGAAGGGTATGACAGTGGGCAGCATGTACAAGAGAGGAGTGTGGAGGGTATGGCAGTGGGCAGCATGTACAGGAAAGGAGTATGGAGGGTATGACAGGGGGCAGTATATACAGAAGAGGAGTGTAAAAGGTATGACAGTGGGTAGCATGTACAGAAGAGGGATATGGAGGGTATGACAGTGGGCAGCATGTACAGGAGAGGAGTGTAAAGGGTATGATCATGGAAAGCATGTACAGGAAGGGAGTGTGGAGGATATGACAGTGGGCAGCATGTACAGGAGAGGATTGTGGAAGGTATGACAGTGGGCAGCATGTACAGTAGAGGATTGTGGAGGGTATGACAGTGGGCAGCATGTACAGTAGGAGTATAAATGGTATGACAGTGGGCAGCATGCACAGGAGAGGAGTGCAGAGGGTATGACAGTGGGCAGCATGTACAGGAGAGGGATGTGGAGGATATGACAGTGAGCAGCATGTACAGGAGAGGAATGTGTGGTAGGACAGTGGGCAGTATGATAGTGGGGTATGCACGTACAGGAGAGGAATGTGGAGGGTAGGACAGTGGGCAGTATTTACTGGAGAGAAATGTAAAGGGTATGACCGTGAAAAAGCATGTACAGGAGAGGGATGTGGAGGATATGACAGTGGGCATTATGTGCAGGAAAGGGGTGTGGAGGTTATGACAGTGGGCAGCATGTACGGAAGAGGAGTGTGGAGGGTATGATAGTGGGCAGTATGTACAGGATAGGAATGTGGAGGGTATAACAGTGGGCAGCATGTACGGAAGAGGAGTGTAAATGGTATGACAGTGGGCAGCATGCACAGGAGAGGAATGTGGAGGGTATGACAGTGGGCAGCATGTACAGGAGAGAGGGGTGTAGAGGGTATGACAGTGGGCAGCATGCACAGGAGAGGGGTGTGGAGGGTATGACAGTGGGCAGCATGTACAGGAGAGGGGTGTAGAGGGTATGACAGTGGGCAGCATGCACAGGAGAGGGGTGTGGAGGGTATGACAGGGGGCAGCATGTACAGGAGAGGGGTGTGGAGGGTATGACAGTGGGCAGCATGCACAGGAGAGGGGTGTGGAGGTTATGACAGTGGGCAGCATGTACAGGAGAGGGGTGTGGAGGGTATGACAGTGGGCAGCATGCACAGGAGAGGGATGTGGAGGGTATGACAGTGGGCAACATGTACAGAAGAGGGGTGTGGAGGGTATGACAGTGGGCAGCATGCACAGGAGAGGGGTGTGGAGGGTATGGCAGTGGGCAGCATGTACAGGAGAGGGATGTGGAGGGTATGACAGTGGGCAGCATGTACAAGAGAGGGGTGTGGAGGGTATGACAGTGGGCAGCATGTACAGGAGAGGGGTGTGGAGGGTATGACAGTGGGCAGCATGTACACAAGAGAGGGGTGTGGAGGGTATGACAGTGGGCAGCATGTACAGGAGAGGGGTGTGGAGGGTCTGACAGTGGGCAGAATCTACAGGAGAGGGGTGTGGAGGGGTATATGACAGTGGGCAGCATGTACAGGAGAGGGGTGTGGAGGGTCTGACAGTGGGCAGCATGTAAAGGAGAGGGGTGTGGAGTGTATGACAGTGGGCAGCATGTACAGGAGAGGGGTGTGGAGGGTCTGACAGTGGGTAGCATGTACAGGAGAGGGGTGTGGAGGGGTATGACAGTGGGCAGCATGTAAAGGAGAGGGGTGAGGAGGGTATGACAGTGGGCAGCATGCACAGGAGAGGGGT